GGGGCGCCCACTGGCCGCGCCCCCCCCCCAGCAGACCAGGGAGATGCGGGTGGCGGGACCCCCGAGACGCGCCGCGGTCCCGCCCGCATCCTCCGCGGCTTTGCTCCGCGTCTCCCTGGTCTGCTGGGGGGGACGACCCCTTCCCCCGCCCCAGCAGGCCAGGGAGATGCGGAGCAGCTTTTCTCGCCCCGGAGGACGCGGGCGGCGGGACCGTGGCGCATCTGGGCGTCCCGCCGCTCCCGTCCTCCGGGGCAAGAAAAGCCCCGTTCATAACTTCACGCTCCCGTCCTCCCGGATCCGCGTAAGTCGGATCCGCGTAACTCGGGGACTGCCTGTATTGTCAGACTGTTATTAACACATACAGTGAAACAGAACACAAACTTCCTTCATTATCCAGAACATGACTGAAATGCAGTACACTGCTCATTGAGGAGGAGGAGGAGGAGAGGGAGAGCCAAATCCATTCATCAACTGGGGTTTGAGGAGCAGCTTCCCAAAATGGCTTAGCAAGCCCAAGCTGCTGATGAGTCTGTAAATCCTCTGTCTCTTCCTCCTTCCTGGTAACCTGAAACAAAACGAGGCAATAGGCTAACCAGTCAGTGCAAGGACTTATACCAGTAGCCCAACAGTGCAAACAGTTGTGCTACAACCTCTCATTACTTATTCTTTTGATATGTGGCTGCGTAACATGCATGATAAGGACCCTTATTGAACTGGTTTGACAACTAGGATCAAGAACGTGCAGATAAGCTGCAGAAATTGCAAGCAGAAAAGGAGGAAAAAGGGAGGCTGAAAGAAGAGGCAAAAGCTGCAAAAGAGCGGGCTAAGGAAGAGGCAAAGAAGAAGAAAGAGGAAGAGCGAGAACTAAAAGAGAAAGAAAGGAGAGAGAAAAAGGAAAAAGATGAAAAGGAAAAAGCTGAGAAGTTACGAGTGAAGGAGGAAAAACGAAAGGAGAGACAAGAAGCTTTAGAGTAAGTGATTTGTATCTGTAGCTTATAGAAATAAGCTATGCCAATAAAAGCACCTTTATACCAGTATAACTGGGTTCACATTTAGGGGTTGGATTGATTTAACGGTTTCTAAATAGTTTTAGTACCAGTTTTAACTAGTTAGACAAGGCCTTAGTCTTTCCTTTTCAGCT